ACAGAGGTGTCAAACTGTTACCAAAATGTTCAGTCACTTGGTCATGCCCAACTCTTTGTGACCCATGAACTACAGCATGGCAGACTTCCCTGTCCTCCACTCTCTCCTGGAGTTTGCTCAAACTCATGTCCACTGAGTCAGTGATGCTGTCCAACCATCTCATCTGTCGTCCCCTTCTTCCTCTGCCCTCAATCTTTCCCAGCATCAGGGTCTTTTCCAATGAGTCGACTCTTCACATCAGGTGGCCAAAGTATTGGAGCTTCAGCTTCAGCATCAGTCCTTCCAATGGACTGATGCTGAAGGGTTGATTTCAGGGTTGATTTCCTTTAGGATTGACTGGTTTGATCTCCTTGCAGTCCGAGGGACTCTCAAGAGTCTTCTCCAACAATACAGTTCAAAAGCATCAATTCTTCAGCACTCAGCCTTCTTTATGGTCCAACTCTTCCATGTATGTATGACTACTGGAAAAACCATAGCTTTGACTATACAGATCTTTGTTGGAAAAATGATGCCTCTGCTTTTTAATGTGCTGTCTAGGTTTGTCATAGCTTTTGTTCCGAGGAGCAAGCATCTTTTCATTTCATGGCTGCAGTCATCGTCCACGGTGATTTTGGAGCCCAAGAAAATAGTCTGTCACTGTTTCCATCGTTTCCCCATCTACTGCCATGAAGTGATGGGACCAGGTGACATGATCTTAGTTTTTTCAATGTTGAGTTTCAAGTCGGCTTTTTCGCTCTACTCTTCCATCTTCATCAAGAGTCTCTTTAGTTCCTCTTCCTTTTCTGCCATTAGAGTGGTGATGCTACCACAGTGCAGTCTCAGAATATTCTCACCACCCCCAGAAGACCTCTAGTACTTGACTGCAGTGACTCCCCCAGCCCCCAGGTTGCCACCAGTTTACTTTCATGACTTGCCTTTTCTGGACAATTCCTGTAAATGGAGTCATACAATGTGATCTTTTGAGCTTGACTTCTTTATATATAAGGTTCATCCATTTTATACTATGCATCAGTATTTAATTCCTCTGTTGCTGAATAGCATTCTGTGAAGAGTTTTACCTCTTTTTTGAATCACCACTATGGACTCAAGGATTATTATTTAGTCCATAATTTACACTCAGTTATAATCATTTTTCTGATGCTCCAATGGTCATAAATTTGACCAAAGGAAGTCCAGTTGAGTTGGCTCCTGGGTCCTTTAGACACCCCCACCCCCCGAACTCATCTTTAAGAACTTCATTTCTAGCATAACAAGTCCCAGGAAGCTCAGAAACCCAGACACCAGAGCTAGGAAGGCCCCCAGGGGAATCCTGGCTCATTTATTCCTCCGGTGGTCAGTGAGTGGACTGTTACAATCACAGCCCCCATGAATCGTGCCTCTTGGAATCCATGTCCTTAAACAGATCTCTCCCACATCAGCTCTGACATTGGCCATGTGACCTGCTTTGGCCAGTGAACAAGAGTGATGTGATGCAAGCAGAGGCTTGGTGAGCCCCGGAGGACTGGGGCTGGTCCTCTTGGAGAGTATCTGCGGCCATGAAAACCTTGGCCTCTCTGCTGAGGAGGCCACATGGAGGAGAGTGTGGCACCTGGGCCAGCAGCCCCAGCTAAGAATCAGATTTAAGGGATGTGCCTGGGACCCCACAAGCCCAGTCAAGTCATGAGTGACCCAGCAGAATTGAGCCCAGCCAAGTTGCAGATCTTGAACAACAAAATGGTGATGGTCTTAAGGCACTAGGTTTGAGGCTGGCTTGTTACACAATAGTAGGTAACAGATTCCAGTCCCTCTGTTTGTTTCCCTGTTTTTGTTTTTGTTTTTTTTTTAATATTTGTTTATTCGACTGCACCGGGTCTTAGTTGTGGCAGGCGAGATCTTTAGTTGCAGGATGTGAACTCTTAGTTGCGGCATGTGGAATCCAGTTCCCTGACCAGGGATGGAATCCAGGCCCCCTGCATTGGGAGCACAGTCTTAGCTGCTGGACCAGCAGGGAAGTCCCCATCCCCCCACTGATGAAAGGGGAAATTGAGAGGGGAGGACGACCGCCCCCCAGCACACGGGCGAGACGGCAGCAGCCCAGGACGGACACCCATCTCTCCTGAACCCATTAGGCTTCTGCCGCGTTGCCCATGAGAGTGATTCCGGTGCAGTGTGAGCAGGGTGTGGAAGATAAAATCTCGTAGCATTGTCTGGGTCCACCTTATGGTTCACATCAAGTGCTCGGTAAAAGCAGGTTCAATTACATATAAATGGCTCTCAGGGCAGGTACACAAATGGGACAGGACAGTTGAAGAAGGCTCATTTGTTCACTGGAGAAGGCAGTGGCAACCCACTCCAGTGTTCTTGCCTGGAGAATCCCAGGGACAGAGGAGCCTGGTGGGCTGCCGTCATGGGGTCACACAGAGTTGGACACAACTGAGTGACTTTAACTTTTTTAAGAAACATTTTTGAATTGACAGTTTTACTTATTTTTCAATATTTATATTTATTTATACAGCTGCGCCAGGTCTTAGTTGCGGCATCTTTAGTTGTGTAACCCTGGGTTGCTGTATGTGGGATCTAGTTCCCTGACCAGGGATCCTTGCATTGGGAGTGCAAAGTTTTAGCCACTGGACCATCAGGGGAAGTCCCAGACAATGTGTCTTGAGGTCTTGCCTCCATGGTATCTGGAATACCAAGCTCTGACTTCTAGAAGCCTCTAATACACAATGAGTGGCTCCTCTCAGAGGTTTTGAAGCCAAAACTGTCACTTCTACTTTGAGTCCATTTGTCTTTCTTCTTTGCATTTTCAAGACCCAGCAGTCTCGCAGTCTCACAGCCTCCACGGGAATAACAGTTTCTCCAGGGTGTCGTCCTTCTTAGGCTTTATCCTCTTCTTCACCCTTGACGCCGAGACTTGGTCTGGCAACAGCCTAGGAGCTTGAACAGTCCTTGAAATGCATGAACGAACTTCTAATCTAGAGGGCTGCAGCTGACACATTTCAGAGAAACAGGCCTGGGGGGTGGGGTGGGGAAGAGTTTTTCCCTAGGGACTTTGAGCGCATGCCAGGGTGGCTAGGGTGCGGTGCACAGGGTTAGATTTTGTGCCTCTAATCTGGGGGCTGCCCTGTCGGTGAACTTCCTTCTAGAGGAGAGGCCAAAGTGAAAGGCCAGCTCTGCTTGGGACTGCTGGGGCTGGTCTGAGGACTCCTGTGGGCCGTGGGAGGAGGCAGCCTGCAGTTCAGTTGACAGGATGCAGGGTAGTTCAGAACCTGGGCCTGCCCATCCACTGGAACAGGATTGAAATCCTGGCTCTGTGACACATTAGCTGGGTGACCTGGCAAGTGGTGGGACACTCAGACCCTTACTGTCCTCAGCTATAAACTGAGCATAATGAAGAGCTGCCTCGCAGGCTGCAGTGGAGGTAACACCAGTGACTAACGATGGAGAAACTCCGAGGATGCACAGAGATACCAGGGGCATCGCTGGTCCACCTCGCAGCTCAGGGAGGGGGCAGGTGGCTCCTGCAGCCTCCCAGGGCTCCCCTCACAGCATTCATGCCTGCATCACCCAGCTCCTCATCCACATAGCAGGTCTGACCTGTCATCTTATGGGACCCTGCCCTGGCTCCTAGGCACATCTCCGTTGGAAAAGCAACCCTTGGTACACAAAAGACATGCAGGAGGCTGTTCCTAGAAACACCGTTCCTAACCTCCTAGATCTGGAAACACCCCAAAGTCCAGCAAGACTCGAATGGAAAGTCAACCATGGTGCGTTCACAACGTGGAGATCTACACAGCAAGCATGAGTGAACTACAGCCAGAGGTTTCATCACGGATCTCACAAACAATGCTGGGGAAAGGAGCCACGCCCCCAAAGCACACACTGTAGGAGGCAGCTTACAGAAAAGCACCCAAAGCAGCCGGACTTAACGTATGGGGCTGGCATGGGGTCGGTGGTCACCGGGGTTGACTAGATGGGGCGTCAGGAGCTCCTGGAGCTCTGGTTCTCCATCTAGGGGGCTGCTAACACAGGAGTACTTAGTTTGCAAAACATCATCAAGCTATACACCTTCGACTTCTGGGTTTTCCCGTATGAAAGGTATGCTTTTTGCTTTTTTTCTTTCCCAAAGGCAAAACCAAACAACGGTCATCTTTCAAGTTCCCCTCCGTGGTCATCAAGAGTGGCCCTCAACATTTTGGGAGGCCAGTCCCCTGCCGGGTCCCTCTCTGCCTGCCCCTCACCTCTCCCTTGCCAATTTCATTGTGCTGTTCCCTCCCCCAGGAAAACCCCACCCCAGCTAAGTCCCTCTCATTGTATAGTTCCTCACTCTGGCCGCTTCCTCCTCAACACTCTCTCTGAGGTGAGAAGATCCTGGCTTTCAGTGACTTGGCTTCTCCCCCATGAAATGCCTTCTAACCAGGGAGGGGCAAAGTAGCCAGACCAGGCAGCCCGGTCCCAGGGAACTATTCTGGGAAACTCACAGCTCACACCTCCTGCCTCTCAGAAGCTAACAGAGGCAGCGCCTGCCTGAAGCAGCTGAGGGCAGGTGGCAGGGAAGTGGGGCCCGCTGACCCAGACAAGCCCAGGCTGGGTCGGATGGGGTGCTGAGTCCAGCTGAGGAGTCCCGGGGGACGTCCTGCCTCACTGGTTGGTTCCAAGTCACCATCATCCCCCTAGTCCTTCCAGCCCCATCCATGGTGTGGACTCTAGCTGCCTGGATGGTTCTCACAGTGAGCCACTCTGGTCAGGGAGCCACTCCGCTGTATTCTTATTTCTCCTGACAAGTAATTAGGTAGTCTATCAGGCACGTGTTCTAGCATCAGCCTGGGCCAGGCTCCAATACATAACAAGCCCTAACTTCACGTTGCCCAGGTCTTCGCCAACTATGGGTGCAACCAGTTATATCAGAATCCCAGGGAACAAGAATGTAGACTCCAAGGTTATAACCCAGATCTACTGGATCAATCTAGGCGCCATTTTCTTTTTATTTTTTTCCCCCTGGATCAGTTTTATTTTTTAAAAAATCAAATACATATTTAATTAAGAAACTAATAATGCAATATTACCCAAATAAAATGTAAGCACGTGTTCAACTATCATGTTCCGTATTTCAGAGAAGAGGTGTTAAGGATTTATGCCCTAAGTTTATTTACAAACATATCTAGGATGCTGAGTTCAAGGGTTTGATCCTTTTAAGACATTGCACTTCTTAATATGTTCCTATTCCTATCTGTCTCATGGATTACTTTTTAAGCAGTTGGTGTCTTACTATAAAGAAAGGTGCAGCAAATCCAGACCCAAAGAACAAAGTCATCATAGCTAGTAACCTCCACTTGTTTTCCACTGAAAATGGTATATTCTTCCCAGGACCCTCCTCGTAGTGGCTCCGATGAACCACAGAGGTTGTGAACCTCCGGATGCTCTGTCCCAACATAGCGATGTTGGAAGCTCTACAAAAGATCAACAGACTGAAGGCGGAAGAAATGACAGCTGCAAACTGTGCGCTGCTTCCTCACGACCTTCCCGGATCAGTTTTATTGGTCAATTTTTCCTTAAGTTATGTATCACAGTTTCCTGCTTCATATATATTATATATATTTTTTTCTTTTTGTTTTTTTAAATTATCGAAGTATGATAACACATTTACAGGAGACTTGGGAAATACAGAACAAAGTTACATATAGTTCCACTATATATTACAATTATTTTTAAGTAGATAGGTTTTTAGTTTGAGTTTCAGTATCAAACTCTCAAAAATTAATAGAATGAATAGACAGAAAAGTAGAAGGATATAGTAGACCTGAAAAGCACTATCAACCAAATCAACATAATTAAGATTTATACTATTTTCACACACCAGCAGGATACAAATTCTATTCAATTACAGTCCAGCAGTGGTCAGTGTTGGGGTAGGAGAGGGGATGCAACAGTGGGAGCCCAGTGAAAGCCCCTTTCCTGGCCATGGAAACCTCTAAGTGAGATCAGACACCTGCACCAGACTTGGCCAGGCAGAGGAGGGCAGAGGTGATGCATTCCAGGCAGAGGGAACAGCATATGCAAAGGGCAGTGGACAAGAGGAGCCGGCACCTTATCGAGACGGTAAGCACTGCGATCTAGCCGGAGAGATAGTGAGGGCAGGAGAGGGAGAGGTGAGTGGTGAGGGCTGGTTAATGCATGCAACCCTATATAGGACACTGAGAGGAATGTTTTGCGAAAACTGAAGTATAGGTGTTTGCTTCCAAGATGCCTCATTAAGCAGCATAAATGTGACTAAATCAGTGTTAACCAAATGAAATGAGGGACAGTCTCTTAATTTCAATTACGCATCCATTCAGCATTAACTTGAGAGTCCCTTGGACTGCAAGGAGATCCAACCAGTCCATCCTGAAGGAGATCAGTCCTGGGTGTTCATTGGAAGGACTGATGCTGAAGCTGAAACTCCAGTACTTTGGCCACCTCATGCGAAGAGTTGACTCATTGGAAAAGACCCTGATGCTGGGAAAGATTGAAGGCAGGAGGAGAAGGGGACGACAGAGGATGAGATGGCTGGATGGCATCACCGAGTCCATGGGCATGAGTTTGAGTGAACTCCGGGAGTTGGTGACAGACAGGGAGGCCTGGTGTGCTGCGATTCATGGGGTCGCAAAGAGTCGGACACGACTGAGCAACTGAGCTGAACTGAAGCTTCCGTTCCATAAAGCATCTTGGGGGGCTGACTTATGCGCCCCGCCCCGGGATTTCCCTCCCCCACCTTTAATAGAAAGGTCGTCCGTCTTGTGTGATCTGTCTTGTTGCCGGTCAGTAAAAAGGGCAAAGGAAAATAAATTTCCCTTGAATCTCTGGCCTGTTTACTCGCATAACTAAGAGTAGATGAATTCAGACCCCAACGCACCAAGGTTGCCTCCCCTCTTCGAGCACGCACTCTGATGGGAGCCCAGGGACCTGCAGACCCCGGGCGTGATCAGAGTACTGAGGAAGTCTTCACTCCGCAAGCAGGTCCCCGCAAAACCAAAGCTCCCACCAAAAGTTCAACACGCCCCCCAAGCTAGGGCCTGATTGGCCCGCCCTGCCCACACGGCGAGCCGGTCTCACCTTCTGATTGGCTGTTCTACCTCTTGTTGTGCGCCGAAACCCTCCTCTTCTCTGATTGGTCAGGCACTTACCTGCGCTCGCCCCGGATTGGGCGCTGGCTGGGACGGCTAACAGGCTCCTAGGGGCCCTGCGTTCTGATTCGCCGTTCGGGCCAGCACCACGGCCTGCACGCTGAATGGCTGCGCCGCTACCTGTATCGGCCTCCGATTGGGTGAGAGGAGGCTCCCCAGTGTGATAGGTCAGGACCACCGCCCCCCTGGCTCCCCATTGGCTGCTGTGCGAAGCCCGGTCTCCGGGTAAGATGGCAGCGGACGGACAGTGCTCGCTCCCTGCTTCATGGCGGCCGGTGACCCTCACCCACGTCGAATATCCTGCAGGTAAAAGGCAACTCTGGCTCCGAGGATGACTTCCCGAGGCCGGCCTGTCAGTGCCTGGTGCTTTGGCAGGCGCAAGCCCGCGAAGGGGGCGCCGGGGCACCCGGGTAGGAACTGTCAAATAGTGAGCCATGGAGGGGTTCGGCCGGCGCGCGCGCCGCGCAGGCGCAGTGGTGTGGCGATGAGCTGGGAGAAATTGTGAGCGTCTCTCGCGCATTCTGCGGCTGCGCGTCCGGGGAGCTCCCCTGGGTCCCGGGGCGCCGGTGGGCTGTGATGGGGCGGTGGTCTGGGTGAGGTGGGAAAGGATAACTGGCTTGGACCAGGGCCTTTCTTCCCTGCCCTTCTCGGAGCCGGAGAGGCTGAACTTTCTCCCCGGCGCATAGGGAGTGCCTGCTTTCTGCAAACAGTGCTATTGGGCAGCCGTAAGAAAGAGCTCCCCATTGCTGGGAGTGTGCAAATCGAGGCCAGGCAGCTCTTCGTTGTTGGGGTACTTCTGATGCCACGCCCTGGGCAGAGCACTGCTCCACAACTCAGGGGACATGGGGGGCGGGTGGGGGCAGACAGCCCCTGGAGCTTCCCGTCGGACCCAGCTCTAGAAGCTCAGGGCTTTCCTCCTGGCAGGTCTTGGAGTGACCTGTTCCGGAGGCGATTTAGTAGAGTGCTGCAGAGCTTGGGCCTTGGGGTCAGAGTTAAGCCGTGGCAAGTGACTTCACCCCTCTGTGCCTTTTCAAAGTGGAGCTGATCACTGTGCGTCCCTTCTAGTGGTGGTGCGAGAATCAGAAACAGGAGGTATGAGAAATGCTGAGTGCAGTGCCTGGCGTAGAGTAAATATTCAAGAGATAATTGCAATGAACGTGATCCCGCCTTGCCAGGACCCTCTCAAACCCACGCCTCCATCTCTGTGTAGGATGGTTGGGTGTTGGGTGAGGCTGGGGTTGGGGGGGGTGTCTTCTCAGTGAGCCCTGGTGGCCCCAGGAAGGGCCTGCTCGTGCAGAGACGTGAGAACCTAGCCCTGCTGAGGGCCCCAGGGCTGGATGCCAGGGAACTTTGACCCTAGGTGTTCTGGGTTCTAGTGGGGGGTGGGGCGGCCCTACTGTTGCTCTAGCTTGTCTTCTGCCTGCCTGCCCACCGTTCACCCGTCATTCATTGAGCTGGTGTCCACTGAGCGCCTTCTGAATGCCAGCCCTGGGCTCGCCCTGTGTTTTGAATGGTAAACAGATGGATATGTCCCTGAACTCCTGGACTGGGCGGAGCGGGGGGTGGGGAAGGGGGGGAGAAAATCCACTATACAGGAGGGAAACTGCAGCCTGGAAAAGGGAAGAGTCTTGCCTTAAGGTCTCAGCACCTTCATGATTTCCCCTCCCTGGGCAGGGAGTAGCTTTTCTGGGTGCTCACAGTGAGAGGAAGGAACCTGGCAGATGTGAGCAGCATGACTCAGGCTGTGATGAAGGACCCTTTTCAGGGACCAGAGGAGAGACCTGGCTGAGCCTGAGGGCCTCTTCTCTGGGGGTCTTCTAGTCCCATGCTAATTCTTCTGTGACCCCCCTGCACTTCTCCTTCACACCCCTCATCACACTGACTCTTGTTTCCTTTCTCCATTCATTTACATCATCTTGTTTTTGTTTAGTCGCTAAGTTGTGTCTGACTCTTGGTGACCCCATGGACTATAGCCCGCCAGGCTCCTCTGTCCTTGGAATTCTCCAGGCAAGAATACTGGAGTGGGTTGTCATTTCCTCTTCCAGGGGATCTTCCCAACCCAGAGATCGAACCCATGTCTCTGGGTCCAGCCTCATGCCGGGGTCCAGCCTCGGCAGGATCTAGGAGGTACCCTCAGGATGAACGGCGTCGGCGAGAGAACACACGTGAGACCAGCCTTGATGGGGCCAAGTCTGCGAGGGAGAGAGAAAGAGAGAGAATGACCAGACGGGGGGTGCAGCAGAGTCTGGCAAATCTTTATTTTTTACCGTAGCTTTTATATTCTAAGTTAGTACATTTTTTAAGGGGAAGATAGTTTAATATTACATCAGCTTATCCTTCACGAAACCAGGGTGTTTTCTGCATACTTCTTTGTGAGAGTCTTGTACATTATCTTCTGGCCTTGGGGCCTATTGACATTTTATGACCTAGGTGAATGCAAAGCTGTTTTCCTGTAATCTATTCTTTAATGAACACAAAGATCAGCCCTTTTGCAGAAGTTATCAGTTAAATTTATCTAAAAGGTTTACAACACAATGACTCTGCAGCTCCGGTGAGGCAGCCCCTGTTTAGCATTCCTGGTTAAAATTAACAATTCTGAACTCTTATTTTTCTAAATCTTTAACTCTAACCACTTTTAGAATAATATTTTTGTGTTCTCTAATAGGGCTTCCTCACCCCCCCCCCCCCCCCAAGGGCTCTGTGCCTATTAGGGCCTTTTGTGTGATCAGGTTCTTTATGCTGTTTATGATTAAGGTGTTGTGAGCATTAGTACGTGCATTAGTATGTGCATTAGTACGCATTTGCCAAGCAAGCTAGAATGCCAGCAAAGGGGTCTAATTGAAACACTCCTTTCATCCTGGATAATCTTATAGGATACCGCCGTCCGGCGGACATGTTAATTAAAGTTCTAAGTTGATTCTGTTTGGAGAGAGATCGGGGAAGGCCTACCCGTGTCACAGAAATTAGGGAGTAGTCTAGTATAGCAAGCATCAGAAAGACAGAGATCATCTTTAAGGTGAGCGCCGGGGCAGCTTTTTGAAATCCCTGAAGTCCTGATCTGCCTTGCTTGTCAGGTCTTCTCATGACCTTGTCATGGGTGGGATCTCCTGTGCTGGCTCCCGGCACTGCATTGGCAGGCAGATTCTTTACCGTTGAACCACCAGGGAAGCTCTAACATCATTTTAGAGCCCAGTTAAGTGTGGAGTGCTGTGCTGGATTTGGGGGTCAGGTGAGGTGTAGAGATCCCACTCCTGCACTCATGATGCCTGCTTTCTAGAGAAAGAGAAAGATACTGGACAGATGTCTCCACTGATGAGTGGTGTCATAAACGACGCCCTGGTTACAGATTCTGAGAGTTCTGCAATGGCAGGAAAGTGTCTTTTTTTTTTTTTTTTTGCCACTGTGGTGGGTGCTTAATTTATGTTGTGTTAACCCAGACAGCCTCCCAGGTGCGGGAAACCGTGTGCAAGAGTCCGGAAGTAGGGCAGAGGCCGGTGTATTCAGGGAACTAGAATGTAGTCCCTGGAACTGGAGCAGAGGGTGGGAGGGAAGCAGAGCGTGATGAGCTGGGCTGAGGGGGACTTATCCCAAGGGCAGAGAGAGCCACTCGGGGCTTTGACTGGAGAATGGTGAGGCCAGAGTCGCTGAGAGCATCTGCAGGAAGTTATAAGGTAGCATTTGCTGTGGGACAGGCCATGGAGGTGGCCAGAGGTTTGGGGGTGCCAGCCACTTCCTGTCTGCATGAGCCAGGGTCCCGGGCACTAGGTAGATAGCTGAGAGACCCAGAATCTCAGGGCTGGAAGGGGCTGGGCCACTGTGTGGATGAGGAGACAGAGCCCCGGAAGAGGGAAGAGCCTCACCCCAGTGTCACTCAGTGGGCCTGGGGCAGCACTGGCTGACCTGTTCTCCCAGGCCAGTTCAAAGCCTGCCCTACCCTGGGTAAGTGTGGGCAAGGCCAGGTGTGTGCCCATCTCTTCGGCCTGGAAGTGGGACTCAGCCCTGTGTGGGTACCTCCCTGCTGCCTGCGCGAGGCCAGGCCGGTGGTGGGGCCCTTTCTTGATGTTGGGTTCTCCAAACCTAAAGGTGCCCTGGGTGCCAGGGACCAAGGCGGGCATTACACAGGCCTCACACGTCAAAGCTCCCATGGCTGGAGGAGGTGGGTACCGATATCCCTGGTTCACGGGTGAAAGAGCATGGGTCAGGGAGGTAACGTCCTTGCCGGAGTTCATGTAGCCGCCAGTGCTGGCTTGGGCACTGCACCGCACACTCTGGCCCCAGAGTGGCCACGTGGCCGCCCTGCCTCCAGTGGCGAGGGCAGCCTTTGGACTTGGTGTCAGCCCTGCCCTTGAGCACGGGGGCAGCTGGCTCTTGCTGGCTGGCTTCAGGATCCTCATACTGCTTCCCCTCCAGGCCTTTGTGGGGCAGAAGGCAGCGGTCACTAGGCGGCCACTTGTTTTGCCCGTGGAGCGGCAGCAGGCAGCCATTACTGCAGTAGGCGGCTGTAGTGGGCAGAGCAGACCGGCCTTGCTCCCTGTCTGAGTCTGCAGTGTGGACCCAAGTCTGTGTGCTGTCCAGAGAGTGCCAGGTTCGCCTGGAGGCCCAGGGCTTGGCTGGGCCCGTCTCAGCACAGTGCTGTGTTCCAGAGGCATCCGTGTGCCTGCTGGGCTGTCTCCTGGTCCAGAGTCCAGCCTCTGGGGCCCGACAAAGCCAGGTTCACATTCCTGCTTTGGTGAGATAGTGGGTAAGTTTAGTTCAGTTCAGTAGCTCAGTCATGTCTGACTCTTTGCAATCCCATGGATGGCAGCGTGCCAGGCCTCCCTGTCCATCACCAACTCCCAGAGTTTACTCAAGCTCATCTGTCCATTAAGTCGGTGATGCCATCCAGCCATCTCATCCCCTGGATCTTAGTTAGATCCCACCTCCTTCCTGCTGTGTGACTTTGGACCAATCATGCAGCCCCTTTGGGGCTCAGGGCCTGCATCTGTAGAATGGGCCCAGTGACGTGCCTGCTTTACACTCACGATCTGTGGATTTGAGGGCTCAGTAAATGCCTTGGCACACTGTGTCTGTGGCCGAGGTGGTGTGGTCAGCCAGTACCCAGAGGCGTCCCCGGTCAGCTGGCCCTGCCCTCTGGGGCCCTGTTGGGACCGCCTCTCTGGCCCAGGCCGTCTCTGATGGCCGTGCCGGCCCTCATCTTGTCCTCCCTGTCTTCCCAGGCGACCTCTCTGGCCACGTTCTCGCATACCTGAGCCTCAGCCCTGTATTTGTCATTGTTGGTTTCGTGACCCTCATTATATTCAAACGGGAGCTGCACACGGTGAGTGAGTCCTGCTCCCCACGGCCCCACCCCAGGGAGGAGGGGCCTCCCCATCCCATCCCAGGTGCTTTGCTTTCCCTTCCATGCCGCCACCTCTCTTGAAGTGTGTGGAGGCTCCTGGCTGGTTCCAGGTTGTCCCCGGGGCTGGGAGGTTCAGTTGGAGGCAGCAGGTTACCCAGAGGCCCTGGTGACCACACATCTTCCCGGCAGATCTCGTTCCTGGGGGGCCTGGCGCTGAACGAGGGGGTCAACTGGCTGATCAAACACGTCATCCAGGAGCCACGACCCTGTGGAGGTAGGGCCCGGGCCTCGGGAGCCCGCCAAGTGAGGGCGTCCCTGGGAGGCCCGCGTCCCCCACCACGCTTTGTTCTCTCCCGCAGGCCCCCATCCGGCAGTGAGCACCAAGTACGGGATGCCCTCCAGCCACTCCCAGTTTATGTGGTTCTTCTCCGTCTACTCCTTCCTTTTTCTGTATTTAAGGTGAGCCTCTGCCCCGGCCGGGCTCGGCCAGGGACCCAAAGTGCCGCGAGCACTTGGGATGCCCGCTGGCTGGGGCTCGGCCTCTCCTGGGGGTGGGAGGAGCTCCAGCGAAGGCAGGAGGAGCCCAGGGAGCCTGCAGATGGGGACCGGGGGCTGAGTGTGTGGGGGGCCAGGGCCCCAGGCTGTGGGCTGAGGCTGCCTGACAGGGTTGTTTTCCCAGAATGCACCAAACGAACAACGCCAGGTTCCTGGACTTGCTGTGGAGGCATGTGCTGTCGCTGGGTCTCCTCACTGTGGCCTTTCTAGTCTCCTATAGCAGGTACAGTGGGAGGGGGCAGCCCCCCTGTCCCCGCCCCCGCCCTGCCCACTGAGGTCTGGCTGGATTCTGGGCCCTCACGGTGGACCCGAGCCCTGGAGCCTATGAGCAGGGCCGGGAAGGGGACCCCCAGCCTCTCAGGTTAAAAGGCCAAGGCTCCAGCTGCCCCGTGCCGCCCAGTCCTTGCTCTCTGCTCTTGGTGGGGGCCATGATTCCAGCGTTAGCCGTCTGTTGCCATGTCCTGAAGGAGCCCTTCACAGATGTACTCCCAAGTTCGAGGGCTGGGGACAAGTCCCAGCCAAGCCATCCCTTCACCTCTATAGAGTTGGGGGCGCCCCTGTTGGGGTGCGGCGCCTTGCCTGATTCTGGAAGCAGCTCCGAGTCCGTGTGGCCCCAGGACTCTGTCCTCTCTGTGGGTGTCTCCCATGTGTGTGCAGGGCTCCCCGGGGAAGCTGGTACTTGGGCATGGGGGCGCGGGCTGTGCGGGCTTGTCTCCGGCTGGCTCTTGTGAACTCGCCTCTGTCCTCGGCCCAGGGTCTACCTGCTGTACCACACCTGGAGCCAAGTGCTCTATGGGGGCATCGCTGGAGGCCTGATGGCCATCGCCTGGTTCGTCTTCACCCAGGAGGTCCTCACCCCGCTGTTCCCTAGGATAGCAGCCTGGTAACTGCCTCCAGCCCGTGTTGCTCTTCCCTCTCCCCGCACCTTCCCAGACACTATGTCCCGGGCCCCCTCCTGCCAAGGGGCCATCAGTGGGGGAGCCCAGACATGCCGACCCCAGCCTCAGTCTCCCGGGGAGGGCCCCAGTGCCCAGGGGCGTAGGGAGCAGGGTCCGCTCGCCTGGCTTCTATCTCCCCCAGGGGTTTTCTCAGTCCAGAAGCCTCTGTCCTCACCTGGCCTCTCGGGGACTTGGAAAGCAGTGTGTGTCCTTCTGGGCTGTATGTATCTTGGGGCCGTGTCCCAGCCTGAGTGTCACACCTGTGGCCCATCTGGGTCTCTTAGTGGCCCGTCTTAGGGCAAAGACTGTGATTGGCAGGGGGAGGGTGTGTTGCCAGCCCAGCGGAGGGGGGAACGTCCGGCTTGGTGACAGACCTTAATGTGTTCCTGGCTTGCGGGGTGTCTGTCTCTCCAGGCCTATCTCTGAGTTCTTCCTAATCCGAGACACGAGCCTTATTCCCAACGTCCTCTGGTTTGAATACACAGTAACCCGGGCAGAAGCCAGGTAAGTCAAGGGGACTGCAGTCACCAGGTCCTGGCTCAGTGGGGTGCAGCCCTCAGGCAGCACTGCTCCCATTTCTGGAAGGCACCCCAAGAACCAGGCCTTTGTCTAAGCACTTTTCTTATACCGCCTCATTGAGTCCTCCCCTGGACCCCATTTTACAGATGAGAAAACTGAGGCTCAGAGAGGAGTCGCTTGACTGAGTATATGCCGACCTCAGGTGTGGGAGCCAGACTGGGAACCCAGGCTGTTGGGCTCAGAGCCATACTTTTAACCTCTGTGGCCCAGAACCAGAGAGCTGGGCGGCCAGGACTCTCAGGGGGACCTGTGTCAATACCCGCCGGGGCTATTCTGTCCAGACCCTCTCCTGTGGAAGGGTAAACTGAGGCATGGTGAGTTAAGGGTATCTGAGGTTGCACAGCAAGTCAGGATGGAGCTGACGTTGGTGCTTTCTGACTCAGCTCTCCTCTCCATGCACCTCAAATCCTGGGTGGGGTGCCCACTGGGGTGGGGAAGGCCTGGCTCCTTCCCAGGTTCAGAGGGCAGCTGAGGCAAGACTGGGCTCCCATGCAAGCCTGGGAGGTTTCCTGAGGAGCCCTGGGTTCCTGGTGAGAGGAGCTACGGGGTGGGGTCCCCGCAGTCGGGACATGTGTCCAGGACATCATGGTCTATATTATCCTAATGAACTTAGAGGTAAAGCCCTGTCTCCACAAGGAAAGGGGATTTGAGGGCGTTAGAACAGTCAATCCCATTACTGGCGGAGGCCGCAGCTGGCCCAGGCTCTCCACCTGGCTCCTGGAGCCGCCCCACCGCTCCCTTCATTCATCGAAACTTCTACGTGCCCCTGCTCCGTGCCAGGCTGTGTGCTGGGGGCAGGCAGAGAGCAGGAGGGTGGTGGCCGGCAGGGGATGGTCACGAGGAATCAGGCACCTACCTGTGTGACCAGGGCCTTGGTCTTGAGAGCCCACGGTGGGAACCTGATGCAGGGGTGGGGTGGTTGGCCATGCTGGCTAGGCGTGGCGGGAGAAAGCGGGCCCATTGGAGTTAGGATTTGACAGGGAGAATGCTCTCAGCATAGGAAACAGCTTGTATAAAACTTCTGAGTCAGCAGATGTGGCCAGAGCCCAGGGGAAGAAGGGGGCTGGCCAGGGGGTGAGGCTGGGACCGCATCATACAGGACCCGTGGGTATAGTTGGGTTTCTGCATTTCAGGTGGGACTCTTGACTATCCCCATCCTCCTATCTGAGCCTCAGCCAGGCCCTCCAGGGAACAGGACTATCCCTGATTCCCTCAGGTTCCTGAGCCCATTGTAGGCACAGCCATGCCCCCAAATCAGGTACTGGGATCCACTGGGTCAGCAGTTCCCCTCTCTGCTTCCATACATCCCAGAAGGAGAACTCAACAATCTTCTCGTCTGTTTTGCTTGATAATAACAGAATCCCACTTGTAAGTGGGAGCTTCCCAGATTTTCTGGAATCCAGCCAGGTCCCTCGTGCCTGTATTCTGTCATCCTGGCCCCAGCCGTGCGCCTGGCTCCTGGCTCTGCACTTGGACTCCAGAGCTGAGCACCAGGGGTGCAGGCCCAGCAGAGACACTGACCCTCCCTTTGCCCCAAGTCCCAGGTCCCCGAGCACGAGCTCTGATTGGCCCGGCTCAATCCGACCCCAGGGGCCCCTGGGAGCGGGCCTTCACTCATTTTGATGGAATTTGGAGGTAGGAAGGCGACAGCTGAGGGGGAGGCTCACTGAATGCCAGGAGCCCCCTCATCTGACCCCCCCACCCCCATTTTGTAGGAACAGACAACGCAAGCTGGGGACGAAGCTGCAGTGACGGGTGAGCGTGGCTGGCTCCAGCCTCCAGATCTGGCCTGCACGATTCCTTGCAGGATGGATGGGATGACAGTCAGAGGGACGAAGCAGAGACCTCTACAGACCCAAGTCACCGAGTGGAGCCTTTTTTTTGCTTATTTTAATTTTGATGAACAGAGTGGACCAAAGGGCTGAGCCAGCCCCTCAGCCAGGACCCTGGAGGGCCTGCTGCTGGGGGGGGTGGCCTTATGGCCAGAGACCCTCACAGTGCTGCTGCCAGCCCCTAGTCGGGCAGAGCGTGCCCTTGGCATGGGCACCGGGGTGTGGGGTAGAGGAGGAGGGCTCGCACCTCTGGTCACAGGGCCAGGAAATCCAGGTGGCGTGAAAAATGCACACTATTTATTTTTGGGTTTTGTCAAAGGCAGATGGGATTTTGGAGAGGAGGCTAGAAGAGCCTGCTGTGCGGGGGCCTCCCTGCGTACTGAGGCGCCCAGGTCAGCTCCCCAGGCCCTTTGCCTTGGGCCCGAGAGGTGGCCTGCCTGGGAGCCCCAGGGGAGGGAGCATCCCCACGTCCTTCCTGGCGCCAATGCCATTCCAGAACCTCGGTCAGTGTTTCCTGCGTGGGGATGGGCCCAGAGAGAGCGCGTGTCTGGCGCTGCTGTCCTTGTGTCCTGCCCGCATCGACCCTGCACCACAAGGGCTTTCTCTGGTCCCCTGTCCCCAAGACAGTGGTCCCTCTCTGACAAAAAGAGCCTGCACATGTGGGTGAGCAAACCCAAGCTGTTTACAGCTCTTTCCTGTCCCGCCGTCCGGTAGTGGTTCGTCTTCATCTCCACCCAGACAAACTGCAGAGGGAGTGGGAACTGGCGGGGGGAGTGAGGCGGTGGTGTCTACTGTCTCGCCCCCCAGCCCCCCACCCCTGCCCTCTGTGTGTTCTGAGCATTCCTCATCCTTCCCACCCCCTCCGAGAGGCTGGGAATCTGCTTGGGTCACCTTGGCCTGTGCCCGGGGTGTGGCTCGCAGATCCCCAGGGCCCAGCTCGGAGGCCAGCTCCTCCCAATCTTGAAGTCTCTTTGAAATGGAGTTGTGGAGAGGAGATGCTTCTAGACTCAGAAGCTTCTAGAGCGGAACCAGACTGCTCGGGACCTGCGTTCCGATCCCCCCCCACCACCCCCCACCTTTTCTTTATGGAGGTTATTAACCTGCTGCTGAAGCACAATGTTTTGGTGCTTTCTTTTCTCATTTGTTCAAGACAGTGTCCAAAGCCATTCCAGACGCCAGGACCAGGGGCCTAATCTTGGGGAAGGTTGGTCGGTCCCCACATTTTCCTTTCCTTCCCTTCTTATTTTTATTTTTTACTTTTTTTTGCCTGAGACAAGCCAAGTGTGAGGTGGTTTGACTTAAGAAAAATCAATGAAAATTGTTTACTATTGTTTTAAAATAAAATCTTGAACTCTCGCAGCTTGAGCACGTTGACTGAGCTGATGGGAGGGGCCTGGGGCACAGCTGTGGGGACACATGACCCTGAGGGGCAAGGGGGTGTGGCGAAGACCAAAATAATCCTAAGGATCTCTGAGACATCTCGTCCCCTCCGGCCCCCAAAGCCAGGATCGGAATGGCCTCTGTGACCCTTTCCACCAGGATCTGAGGTCAGCCCCACCGGACCCCGTCTACCACCCTGTGCTGTCCTGGCTGGCTCTGCCCTCACTAAGCCGGGCTTTCCTCTGTGTGACTGACAGCGCTTGAGGACAGGACAGCCAGCAGATCTGTCCTTCCTCAGCTTCTGTCAGGATAAACAGCTCCACCCCTTGTTGAATTCACTACTCCTTGAGTGTGCAGACAGGTATTGGGCTTTGAAAGAAAGAACTGCAAACTGACCTGGGTTTTGTAGGCCTTGTAGGAGTGAAATGAACACAAGTCATTTCAAGGGTCCAGAGTGGGGGTTCTAACCCTTAATTCATTAAAGCTGATTCAGAAGAGCTTCACCCTTAGGGTGAAGGTGAATCAGAAGTAATCCCATCCTCCTGAGCTCGAAGGCTGGGTTTGGGTGCTCCACCGTGGTCCACAGAACCTTGACATTTAGTTCAGGTGACCTCACCCCGTGTGGGTGGCAGAAGCAAACAGATCCCTGGAGGAAGGAACCTTCGTGCTAGAGTTCAGTCATATATAGTTTTAAGAAATTACCATGAACAAAATACAAAGATGACCAGGTAGAAAAGGAATCACCACCATCCTTGAGAACCAGCAGGAAATAAGTATTAGGAAGAAACCTGCACATATGTCAGGGGCTGGGGTGATCAGACACAGACTGTAAGTTGTTTCATTTTAAAGAAATAAAGGACAAACTTGAAAATACCTGCAGAGTAGGAAACTACAGATGTGAACTCTGGCAGATTTTTAAATGAATACTGAAAAATACAATAGCAAAAAAAAAAAAAAGCCCAACTCCATAGGTAGGTCAGTAACAGCCTACTAGACACAGTTGAAGGGGAAAACTGGAGAAGTCAGAGGAAATCCAGAATGCATCGAGAGAGGCAGCAGCAGGGCCGTCTGATGAGCCCTTGGGTTTCCCCCAAGTCCCAGGTAAACATTGCTTTTACCCCAGTTGGCACTTGTTCACATACTGTACTGCTTGGGCTCTCAGACCAGCACCCCACTGCCTACTTCACCTAACTCCTCCTTTTTCCATTCAGCTGGTCACCAAACCTTGCTCATTCCAGTTCATAAGCATTTAAAGACAAAATTTGGATCCTTTTTATTAAGTCTGTTAGGTTTATGGTTTTTTTTTTCTTTTTAAATATTTGGCTGCATAGGCTATTAGCTGACACACTGGGGATCTTCACGGTGGCGTGTGGAATCTTAGTTGTTAACATGTGGGATCCAGTTCCTCAACCAGGTATTGAACCTGGGCCCCCTGCACTGGGAGCAGGGAGACTTCGCCATTGGACCACCTGGGAAGTCCTTGTGAGCGTCTTTGAAATAGCCACTTTCTCCACCTCCTACGCCAGTGTGGGTCCCGGCCCATGAGCCCCTGCTAGGACACAGGAGAGCCTGGCAGGCTCTCATCCCCACTCCAGGCCTGCCCTTGATTCCAGCCCCTGCACTTCCCCAATGGAGAGAGCCCAAATCAAGTTCATGCCAAGCCGGTGAGACAAACTTCCAGAGGATCTAGGCAAAAGCCAAGTATTCTTTATGATTTTATTAATTATATATATATTACATTCTCAAATTTCAAATGATGTATTACACAAAATATATAAACTTATGACAGTTCTTTTTCATTCATTTTGCAAAGAAAAAAAAAAGTTCATCTGCATCACTGGCATCAGGGCAGGGTCTGGCTATTTCTGGGCAGCCTGTCTGCTGACCTAATTCTCCTGGGTCCACTAGACAAGCAATTTGGGATATGGCAGGACCTTCTGTATTTCATGCATGGTGCTGTACTTGGAAATTTTATTCCAAACACTGGCAGAGCATTCAGATGGATTTTAAAAGTTGATCCTGTAGGAGTATGTGATCTCCCCAACACTTACCTCCCCTCATGTGTCCAGAAACCTGTGTCATAGGCCACACCCCCAGGGATAATGATTACATCTCCATGGTTCTTTGACCTCCCCCTCCTCCGCAAGTTCCACCAGGGTACCAATTAGGGCTGTTTTAGGTAAATGCGTCTTCGTCAAGCAGTACTTTGCTGCTCTACAGAACTGAGTGAGCCTCCACATTATGAGACCTGTAACAACCCAAATGCAAAGGGATGACCTCACTTCTGAAGGATAACATTTTGGGGGAAAATCCTGCCTTGTAATCAGACCCAAGCAGTTCTTAGAACCTGAGTTTCTGGAGTCGTGGATGTGTGTCCCTGCTGTGTCCTCAGCCTGCATCATCACTGCCTCCCCTCCCTGACTGCCCCCAGTTGGGATGGGGCCACACAGCAAGCACTCAGCTCCTGCTGTGGGCCCTGCTTCCTGAGATCCAGCCTGGGGACGCCGGGGGCCAGCCGCTCCCCAGCTGCAGAGCAAGACCTCTGTGCTGTTGTGATGGGATTCTCTTCAGGTCCTGCTTGAGGTCCCTAAAGGGGACCCACGCATCTCTTCCCGGCTGATCCCACCCTGCAGGCCAAGCTGGAAGAGGCCAGGCCTTGGGCGACACCCACTCCCCACGGGGTCGGGGCTCCACTCCTTGCTCCCTGGGGCTTTGGGCATGTGGCATGGGCTCCCTGAGTCTGCTCCACCCTCTGAAACATGGAGACGACCTCCCTCAGTGAACGTCACAGGTTAGCCAGGACAAGAAGCACCTCACCCCCAGGCTGGGTAGTCCCTCCCACCCTCAGCATCTTCCTTTGGGCCAGGGTCTTCCTTAGGGCCAGAGTCCCTCTGCTCTCCATACGCTGCCCAGTTGACTGCAGCAGGACACGGGGCCCTTGCTGGGTGACTGGGGTTGGGGACACATATAAGGTTCTGACTGGGTGGCCCCAGGCAGTAGCAAGGGCTGGGGTCAGACAGCTGCTCAGCCACCACTCCTGCTGGGCTCAGTGCTGGGCAGCAGATGAAACCTTGGGCCCAGACCACAGACCCCAGGCCTCACAGAGAGCTGTCCCTACCTGAAGGCCAAGTCACAGGTAGGAGGGCTGTATCTGAAGGATGTGGGCCTGGGTCTGCTGCTGTGCTGGCCCAGAGCCCTGAGATCTGAGCCAGCCTTGGGCCCACTGGCTGCCTGGACATCAGCTTCCAGATGCAAGGAAAGCCAGGGGAGGGCAGAGCCAGGTGCTTGCCCCACCCTGCGTGCCTCCTCGGCTGAAACAACTCTTTACTAACACATTTCCCCTTTATTAAGTGCCTTGTAAGTTGTTATACAACCAGGACATGGTTCAGGAATCAAGCCGTGTGAAAGCAAGCGAGCTGAGGCCGACTGAGCCACATCCTCAGAAGAGCAGGGGGATGGTGCAGCGATGCAGAATGGGCTTCCCCGCCACCAGCACACCTCACTTCCTGACCCCTTAGCTGTGGGGAGGCCTGGAGACCCCAGCTCCATGTAATTCCGTCTCTAGGTCCTTGCGAGTTGAGGAATCAGGCTACAGACCTCAGCCTGGCCGCGCAGCTAACAAAAACTGGGCAGAGCTGAGCTAGTGAGGAAGGGCCTGTCCAGTCTCCACCCTCATGAGGGCTGAGCTCGGCTAGTTCCTTTCCCAGGAGGAGGCCACGGTGGGTGCCTGGGCCGACCTTCTGTTCAGTTTCTGGACTCAGCCTGGGTGCTGGTGAAGACCCATGAAAGGCACTCGGCTTGGGTCTGCAGACCCTGCTGAGGGTGGCTGTCCCTGACTGAGATCTGTGGGGCCCAGGGGAAGAGGGAGCAAAGAGGAGGAGCCGAGTGGGTGGCGTAGCCCAAGGTGGTGTGGCTGTGGCACCGGCAGGCCAAGCAGCGGGCTCAGAGCTTGGCCCGGGGGTGGCTCTGGAGCAGAGCCCGCATGTCCAGGAGTGCCTTCTCCAGATAGTGTGCCAGGTGGACGGCGTTGGTGTCGGCACAGCTGTTGTAGGCTGACACGGAGAAGTTGATGTGCGTCTCCATGGGGTTATAGCAGACGCCATAGCCATCTGGCACCACGGGCCCAAAGAACATGACACAGTCTGTCTTGGCGGGGACCTGAGGATGGCACAGGACCACAGACAGCTCTCATCCCAGCCCCGCGGTGGCACCAGCCTGCCTTTCACGTGGGCTCCCACCATGCTCTGCCTGAGACGCCCTCTGCTTGTCTTCAGCGGACAGCTGAGTCCCCTAGAGTCCTTAGGAGTGCAGTTCTGGTGTCACCAGATTTCCCTGACATTCCTGGGGGGCTGTCACTGTCCGGCCAAGACTGTGATCCCCTGGGGGCAGTATCCCAGTGCCCAGCACAGGCTGGCCTGGATCAAATGCTCCTTAGCATCTGATCAGTGTGTGAATGAAGCCAAGGAAGAAGAGGGGTCCCGACTCCTCAGCCTGCCTGAGGTGAAGTGAGGCCCCCAACCCCAGAACTCAGCTGCTTCAGGAGGGGCCTGTGTGAGTCACATCACCTCCAAGTGACTGTGTTTCGGACCCTGGTGCATCCTCTGTGACTCCCGTTCCATCCCACCCCAGGGCAGTTAAGGCAGCGGCTCACCTGGCTGGTGGAGAGGTTGAAGTGCATGGCGATGGCGTAGGAGGTGTCCATGAAGATGTCCGGCATGCTCACTAGGTCTTCGATGGCCTGCATCTTCAGGCCCAGCAGGTGCCGGTCGAAGGCCTCCCCACGGATGGCCTGCGAGAGGGGAGCTGTCAGGAGCAGGGGCTGCAGGCCCACCAGCTGCCACCCTCCCCAGGAGCCTCTGGCGGCAACGGCTCTTCCACTCACTGGCCCGCAGACCCATGAGGCCAGAGCAGCTGGGCAGGAAAGCCCTCACTTCACAGATGGGGAAACTGAGGCCTAGGAACTCCCCTGCTTCCAGGGAGGCCAGAAAGTACAGCCCAAGAGCACAGGCGTGCAGCTGGGTGGCCCGGCCCCATCCTGGCTGTGGGACCTCGGCAGGTCACTGACGTCTTGGAGCCTCAGTGTCTTCAGCTGTGAGATAGGGACAGTCACTGAACTCCCTCTGTGGGGTGGCACTGATTGAAGTAGTTGCCTGCGTGTAACATGGGCAAAGCCTGGCGTGTGCAGGCACTCAGGGTCAGGCTGGGAGCCGGACCTCCACCCCTGGACTGCAGCCCCAGCTGTCAGAGGGCGGGCACCCTGCGGTCTGCCAGACCATGCACACCCTCGGTATCCTGGGCTCTGGGGCAGTGGGGAGAGTGCCTGACACAAGATCCAGAGGCCAACCTGGGCCCAGGGCAACTGCTAGGCCTCACCTTGGTTTTTCCCACTGTAGAATGGGATGTTCAGCTTTGCTCCAAGTGCCCCAGTGCTTAGGGCAGGGGTGCCTGACGCTAAGGGGAGCAGCCATTTGCTGCAGGGATGGACAAGTTGGTGGGTCATGCCCAGGGCCAAGGGAGCAGGGAGCGGGGGCTGGCTCACCCGGTCGGTGTAGGCTCGATGGGCCTGCACAGCCTTCCGCAGCAGCTCCACCTTCTCATGCTCCTAGGTGGGGGGTGGGGGGAAGAGGGCGCTGATGCTTCCTGTCCCTGCTCCCTCCTCAGGGGCCCACTGCCCACTCTAGGTTTTCTCCTGAAAGCACAGACTGGCCAGTCCCCAGCCAAGGCCTGACCCAGGGCAAGTGCTCACTGCTGATGGCTGACCCTCAAACAACTCGGTTTGAACTCTGCAAGCCTACTTATATGTGGACTTTCATCAAAAAACACAACAGTATGACACACCCCATGGAAGGCTGGACCTGCAAACGCACAACCACAGACACAGAGAGCGACTAAAGGGATACAGGGAATTTCGACTGTGTGGTGCCCCAAACCCCCGGGTTGCTCAAGGATCCACTGGAGTTCCCTTTCCTCTTTGGCCAGCAGAAAGCGGCCGCACCAATAAATTCATGGCTCCATCTTCCACGAGATGCCCAGTGTCCACCACAGGACTGGGATAGAGTAAGTGCTCAACGTGCACTGACAAAAGGAGAAGGAAGGCAGAAAGGCTTGAACCCAGCTCTCCCACCCTTGCCCCTGACCCCTCACCGTCACATTGGGATCATCCATGGCCTTGACGAAGGTCAGCGAGGCCACGGAGGCTGAGCGGATGGTGTCGGTCCGGCCTAGGTGGAACATGCGCAGAGAGGCGCTTTCGTACGTGGCGCAGGCCTGCCCGTAGATCCTGGGTGGGAAAGGTGCTGAGCTCGCCCCTGGCAGGTCCTTCCACCTGCCCCCAGGCTTCATCCTCCCGGGGGGTGGGGTATACCTGTAGTAGGCCAGCTGCAGTGCCATCTGGATGAAGGCATCTGGGCTCAGCTTCTCTGACTTGGGGAAGTCCTTTCCAAAGTGGTGGAACACCATCACTGTGATGTCCAGGTCCTGGATCATGCTGGGGGTGGGGTGGGGGTGGGAGGTGAGGAGCAGTACCCAGCAGCCTCTGCCAAGCCCACAGAGGCGCTGAGGGCAGTCTCTGAACCAGTGGGCACTGTGGCAGAGCTGGCTCTTGTTCCGGCTGGAGGAGCCCCTCCCAGCACTCACATGCTGAGATTCTGCTTGGCCTTTTCAATGTCGTTCTTGATCTCAGGTGTGATGTTGAACCGCAGCTTCTTGGGCATGGGCAGGGGAACCATGGGAGACCGCACGAGTTCCGGCCTCTTCCTGCACGGGATGTGAGGGTCTCAGGCTCCTGCCAGGAGCCTCCGGAGCCTGGGTCCATCCCCGGGATTACAATCGGGAAGAGGGGGCCAGTTCAGGGAGACTCTTGGAGGAGGGGAAGGGACTTGTCCAAGGTCACCGAGCTGAGAAGTGGCAGAGCCAGAATGCAAACCCAGCTCTGATGGACTCTGAAACCCACACCCCCTTCTGGCTTCCTCTGTAGAAGCATAGATTCCCAGTACAAGGGAGATGGCCATTCCTCCTCTGAGAGCTTGTCTGTCACCTGTCATCAGGAGCTGGAGAACTGGCTGGAGGGTGGGAGACCCACACTCACGTGAAGTCCATGACATGGTCCAAAAGGGAGACGATGGGGGGCCCCTCGGCTGCCGCATGCTCATAGACGAGCCCACAGGCGCCGTCTTCAGCCACGATGAACTGCGGGGGAGATGGGGTCCCTGACGGGTCCAGGCCCCAGCAGCCATTCTCTGGCAGGGTCCCCTGGGGGGGCTCTGAACCATCTCAAGCGCTTCAGCTGATTTATTACTCTTATTCATAACAGCTAACACTTACCGGGGACTTCAGGACCTCTGTCCCAGGTCACGCTAAGCACATCCTGTGCTCAGAGACTTTTCTGGGTCCTTGCACCTACAGTTCCCAGGAGTCCTACCACCACCCCATTTCACAGGTAAGAGGGAAAGTCATGACCAAGACTGTGCCGCTCAACCTGGCCCCACATTCCAGGCTCTCCTGATCAGGGACGGATGTGTTGGAGGTGACAGGGGTTACTGGGCCAGGCTTGGGAAAGACAGGTTGACTGCTGCTAATTACAGCCGCGTCCACCTGCTGATTCCCCCCTGCTTTACAAGCTGGGAAGCCAGGGACACCGGAGTCCAGGGGAGGGACAGGAAATCCTGAGGCGGCAGTGGGCTGAGCCTGGGCGCGGGTCAGGGGTGGGAGTCCTGGCCCTGCCAGCTCCTCACCTGCAGTGTCTTGTCGAACCAGCGGTTGCCGCTGTTGAGCTTGCTGCCGCCCCCGTGCAGCATCTGGCCTGCCACCTGGCTGCGGTAGGTGTCTTCCGAGACCCGAGGCATGGGTGCGTCCAGGCACACAGTGAAAATGCTCCTCTGGATGGAGAGCACTGATTCCCGGTTCACCTTGTCTGTGGGGACGTGTGGGGGGTGGGGGTGGGGGTTAGGCCTGGGGAGGCTTCCAGAGCTTCCTTTAACAGGGCCCAGTAGCCCCAGAGCACCCCATGAGGCACGGCTGCCCCGCTTCAGAAAGCAGGAAACGGAAGCCCAGGTCACAGAGAAAGCCAGTAAGGTAGCTGGGGATCCAACATGGGAGTGGATTCTGGGGATGATGCCCTTGCCCAGCATGGGATTTGAAGGGAATGTGAAGGGGGGGCTCCTCAGAAGAAGGATGTGTTCTCACTGCAACTTGCTACTGAACAAAAAGAAGAAACTAAACCCAACTGAGGTTTCCCCTCATGTGCAATGAGGACAACAGCGCCTGCTCTGAGTAGAGGGGATTCAGCGTGACGAGCTGCTTGGGCCTGGTGTGGGTACCTTTGATGAGGGTGCTGTAGGCCTTGGCCCAGGAGTTACGGTGGTTGGAGGTGAGGATGCCCACGGGCTCCTTGTTGGTTTGCAGTGACGAGTTCCAGATCTTCTCCAGCTGCGTGAAGATCTGATCCGAGGTCAGGGGTGTCCCATCGCTGTGGTACACATCCAACTCAAAAAACTGTCCGGGCACAGGCAGGCGGAGAGAAGGGGTTTTGTGGGGGCCTCAGACAGGCAGCGGTCACCTCCCAGCCCAGCTGAGGGGATGGTGTCAGGCCGAGGGCGAGGAGCAGGAGGAGATCTCTGCACTGCTCTCCCCGGGCTGACCAGGCCCTAACCCTCCCAGGCCTCCCCCGGGTTGGGGCCTGTCTGGATACCCAGTGGACAGAAGAGGCCCAGGGCCTGCCTGTTTCAAGGGCACGTGGGCAAGTGTGTTGGGGAAGCTGACTCTGAGCCCTGCCTTTCCTTCCTGCAACCATGTGGGGGCTGAACAGCTGCAGGGGGACCACCCACTTGGTAGTTGTGCACCACGGTGATGTGCATAGGCGGCTTCTTGGTCCTGCTGAACTTGGTGACCAAATCCTGCTTGGGGCCTGGCACGCGGCAGGACGACAGGATCTGATAGTACTGGTTCATGCACAGTGGCTTGCCCCCCAGGTACTCCACGGGCAGAGTCTCGCTGCAGGGGCAGAGGGACAGGGAGGTAGGTGGGATCCATAGGGGGCTGCTGGGTCTAGCTGCAGGCTGGGTTGTTCCATGGGGCTCACACAAGCAGTGCTAGGCCCCTTGGTGCCCACCCCCCAACTTAGCGTGGGAAGAGGGGAAGAGGGGTGGTTGTCGGAGGCCGACTGGGTCAGGAGGCCTGTGAGCCACCCTGCTTGTGAGTCACCCTGGAAACTCCGTTCCCTTCTCTGGGCTTCACTTTGCCACAGGGAAGATGAAGCAACGAGTCATCCCCTGGGGTCTCCTCTTCACCTGGGACGTCAATTCCAGGGATCTCTTGGGAGAGGGCCCCCTGGAGGACGTCACGGCAGCTGGAGCTGAGGACCTAGGTGCCCCGATCACCCATGCTCTGCCTCCCCAATCCTCAAAGAGGCTAGGTCAGCAGGAAGTGAGAGCCACTGAGCTCTGGGCCTGCTCAGCAGTCAGGCAGGAGGTGGGAATGGGCTGCTGGAGTGGCTGTAGTAATTAGGCAGTCCAGCTAGGAGGTGAAAGGGTGGGGATGGGGCCACTCACTTGTCAATCATGGCCTTGAAATCCAACACGCCCTCAATTAATTTGGCAGCGAACCTGGAGGGACAAAGTAAAGATCAGAAGGCTGTGTGGACAGCCAGAAGGAGGTTGCTTTACTCCTCTCACTGCTTAGAGAGCCTGAGGAGTTCAAGTGTAGAACCTGTATTCCCATCTCATTCTGCATAATCTCTGGGGAAAGGGATTAGGGTAATGTGTCGGCCAAACAACTGGCAGGACTTTGGTGCTACTGGGCAGCATGACTATGGCTGGATTACGAGTCATGTCCTCTGACTCCATCCTCAGAGGGTCCGAGGCCCTGATTCACAGCCTGGAGCCTGGAAGGCCTTTGCCCTGTTTTGAAGCATCAGTTAGGGAGGGATCTAGGATTGTGGGCTAAAGCCAAGGGTGACTGGGGGGGGGGGGGGTAGTGCCTTAAGGTGTTCCGTCTCTTAGATCCCTTCCTGTTTCTGGGCTTGTGTGTCCCCCAGGCCATCTCAGTCAACCTGCTCCTTCCCCCCTGAACCGTCTGGGCCACATCAACCATGCCTGATGCATGGGGGTGCTCCTGGCCCCATGGGGACTGCTGGCTAGTTTCTGGGCTTGAACCGCTGGTCCTTCCTGGGGTGCCCTGGTCCCTTTAAGAGAAGCAGGTATGGCCCTGAGAGACTGACTAGTCCTTGGGCAGGAGATCTTGTCACTGGTATTTTTATCCCTGGTAGAACTGGAATAGAGGCCAAGGCAAAATGACATGACCGAATGTGGAAAACGGGACTGTGTACAAAGGTCACCCTTGTGGCCATCTGAAGAAAGTGGGAAGGACGGGGTGAAGTGCCAGAACTGGGGTGAGTAGCCTCAGGTTTAGGGGAAGGGAGGGGTCCTAGTCTGCAGTTTGGTGGTTAACAAGAGTCAGGAAGATTCTGCTTCATGTCCAGGTCAGTCAATCCTGAGAGGTGATCTTGGGCAGGTCCCTTCACTGCTCCTAGCCTCAGTTTCCCTACCTATAAAACACGGATGATGCTTCTTAAGGCTATTTCCTAAGGCTATTTGTGGTAATGAAAGATAATGAACAGGGCTGGGGCCCCTCTGTTCTCCTGGAGGAAGTGGACATCAGGACCCTGGGAAGGTCCAGAGCTCTGCCCCCACCTTGGTGACTCACCGGAGCTGGCCCTGCCGATCCACAAAGTCCTGCTTAGGCAGCATCACACCAGGGCTGGAGTAGATGACCAGGGGCTGGCGGTACTGGAGGTAGGCTGTTTTGAGCCACCAGTCGGACAGCTGGGGAAGGACCAGAGCCCATGAGGAGGGATGGATGAGGGACCTGGTTGCTCCTTCGCTACCAGGGCCAACAGAGCTGGCTGGGTGCCCTCTGCCCTCTCTAGCGAGCACAGATTTTCAAACTCAATGCTCAGATCCAGAACCCCCCAGTCCTGTAAATCCAGCAGCGACCCATCCTCATCCCTCTAATGGAGCCTGTCAGCATTAGCAAAGGGAATCGGGCAACACTGTCAAGGAAAAAAGACTGGCAGGAAACCTGGGGTTGGGGGAAAAACAGAGGCAGAAATAGCAGTCACTTTTTCCTTCTCTCATATATTTCAGGTCAATGATTTTAGCACTTTTAGAAAATAAAAATGTACATCTGATAGAAAGGAGACAAGAGAGAAAGTTATATGAAAACAAAGTCTGATGAGTAAGTTTCTGCCTGTCTCAGGTGGGCATACTCTAGGGAAGCAGGAGCCCTCAGAAACCCTGGTCCTCTGTGCCCTCAGCTTTGTTGCTGTCAGACTAGGGAATGGACAGCCACCTGGATCTCCAGGTCAGGGCAATCTGGAACATAGCCCCAGAGATTTCAGAGCCTCTGTAAAGACAGATCACTGTACTAGTGACAAGATGTAGGTGACTCTCTACTAGGCTGGCTATCCTCTGACCAGGGCAGGGTATTTCCATGGATATGCAGCAAAAGGCTCCTGTCTTGGGACCTGCAGGTGACCATCACCCTTGAACCTTATGTGCTGACAGCAGTACTGCCCCCACTACACCTTCTCCCCAGCATAAGCCTCTTTGTGGCAGGTCCCTCAATCCCTGGAGACACAGCCCCCACTGTGCTTCCTAATCCATCTTAAATGCAGTAGGACGTGCCTCTTACCACACGGACTCCCCTTGGGAAACTGCTGGCCATGGGCCCCTGGCAAGGGGTGAAGAAGGGCAAAGTGCCCAGGTCACACAGCAGACCCGCAGGCAACTTCTGTCTGCTGATCTGTGGCCTGGAGACATGGCCCCCGCTCAGCCAGGCCCTCCTGTCTAGCTTGGAGCCTCCTTGAGCGCTGCTCTGTGGCTCTTCGATCCATCTCCCTGGGCCTCAGTTTCCCCATCCATAGATGGGGAGGGGCAGACAGAAGCTCCCTCCCCTTGGGGACAGATAGGTTGGGCTGCCCTTCAGCCAGGGGCCCCCACAGCCCTGGAGATCTCAGAGCCTCTGACCAGAGCTCTGGAATCCAGGGGAGCCCCTGCACATGGGGGCATTCCCTCAGTGAAAAATCTGCTGAGCAGGGGCAGAACCCTCAAGGGCCCGTGAGTGGAGAGGGGGTGGTGATCCCACCCCTTTAGCCAGAAGATTAAGTCTGAAGTAGCAGTTCTGGCTAAACAAAGTTGGAAAACTGCCAGATCCCAGAGATGCTAAGATCCCGACCTGCTAAGGTTTGTCTGTGCTGGTGGCCGGCTGACATCTTCCACCTCTTCTGTGTAGCCCCTGCCCTTCCACCTGCTCCCTCACAGCGCCTCTCACTTTACAGGGCCAGACCCATCTCTGGTTCTCTCTACACACCTCATTCATCCCTCTCTCAATGACCCTCCTTCCCTCCCTGCACACAGTTGCTTTAGGCCTGGGCTGTCCACCCCCCAGCCCCATCAGCAAGTGCCACTGACACCAAAACATATCCTGGATCGAATGACTTCCTGTCCTCTCCCTGCCAGCCTGCCCACAGGCTCCTGTTCCCATCTGCACTTCCCTCCCACCAGCATGGCAGTCCTAAGTTCATGCCGGATGTGAGATGAACACAGAAAAGTGCCCGGGGCACCAGCGCAAACATATCTGCACATGCTGAACACATCTTTGTAAAAGACTGAGACACAGAACCAGGACAGTCAGTCACTGTCAATATGATCACCCTGCAGCCCTGTCCCACTGAGCTCAAGTCCAGGGGCTCCCTGGGGCCCCCACCCTGCCCTTGCACCCCACTCCAGCCTCCATTCCTGAACCTGAGCTGTTTCCACCTTTGCCTGTGCTGTTCCCTCTGTCTGACTCAGACCCAGGACCACCTCTGCCCTGCCCTCCCCGCCCCATTGGAACGAAGAAGCTGCTGTCCTCCACCCTCACACCTGCTTCGTCCTTTTCACCTGAGAGGACTGCATCGCCTGATGTGACCTGGTCCGCTCATGGGTGTCCTCACCCTGTATACTTGAATGTCAACTCCAACAGGCTGCTGACAATGTCCTTCTTGCTCACCCAGCACCCTGCTTGGTGCTGGGCACAGAGTAAGTGCTCAGGAAACTCTGTGGTGCAAATGGATGCACCAGCGCAGCCTGTGTTGGAAAATTGGGGCTGTACAGCCAGCAACAGGCCACAGGAGGGACGCTCACAACCACCCAGGCCTCAGGGGAGTGGCCCTGTTCCCCTTACCCTCCACATGCGCCAAAGGGACTGGTGTGCCCCCTGCCTTCTCACTCACCCAGTTCTCCATCTTCCTGGCCCTGCGCTCCAGCCCTTTCTGCAGGCGCTCCCCTACGCCGCCTGCCACCTGGAACTCTTCCACCAGCTGCTTGGTTTGGGTCCATTCCTCCTCGCTCACGATGGGCTGCAGTGCCTTGAGATAATGGTCCAGGGTCTGCTGGAGCGGGGGCACGGGCAGCCGGGGGAGCGAGTCTTGGTGTGCCTTAAAGCGACTGGAAACCTTCATCAAGGAGGAGGGCTTGAGGAGGCCCAGGGGCTTCACCTGCAGGCAGCAGAACATCCTGCTCATTCTCTCACCAGCTCTGGGAGACTGGTACTCCCCAAGCTGAAGTCCTGGGCACTTATGTGCCCATTCCTGGTGTCAGAGACAGCCTCTTGGGTGGGGCTTGCCCTGGTTTCCCAGCCCTCGAGCTGTAGGTGTCTCCACCTCTTAGGGGCCTGGAGATGCAGGTAGGGATGGGGGAGGGTGGGGAGGGGCCACTGATCTTGGCAGGGCTCAGAGCAACCAAGTCAGAATGGATGGCACCTGCCTGGGGGCGGCAGAGATCAGAGGGGCCTCTCACCTGCTGGATGCATAGGGCCCTGCCTTTCTCACCCTGGGATGATGGGCCAACCAGTGGTGACGTGATGGCTCCCTCTCGGAGGTCCCCACCTCCTTTTCTCCCACCCTTACCAGGTTGAGAAATAGGAGGGAAGAAGAGAAAATCAGAGCTAGACAATGACAGGAGCTTTAGGCTTTTTCCTGTCTGTGGGTAGGGGAGAGGGGTGGCATGGGAACAGTGCTGTGCCAAGAGAGACCTGAGTGGCCTGGCAGGAGGGTGAGAGTTGGAAGACAGGGAGAGTGTAGAGGCTCTGGTGGCAGAGAGAGAGAGAGACAGGAAGGTCCGAGGCTGCTGGCAGCAGTGGGCAGGCAAGCGGCAGAGGTTCCGTTTCATACCTTCTCTTTTTGCTGCTCGTTCTCCATGGCAGGACTGAGGTTCTGAGCCCTGTCTGTCTGCCTCTTGGGCTGGATCTCTAAGCCTAACTGTGCTACCAAGTGGGTGAGCAGAACCTAGCAAGAGGCAGCCACTTGCCTGGGCTGGAAAGAGAAGACAAGAGCCAAGATTCAGGGGGAGGCAGACAGGGTAGCGGTGGTGGCTGCAGCGGCTGTGGTGGTATCTGGGCTTCTGACTGCCACGGGAGAGGCTGCTCCACCCTCTCCAGCTTCCAGAAATGGAGGAATGGGGAGCAGGTAAGAGGGCTAACGCTGTGCACTGGAGGAGAAGGAAACCTGGAAAACTTTTCCCTTTCTTCCCTGGACGGGCCCAGTGCCAGGGAGTCAGGCCAAGAGGTATTAAAACTCCACCTGCTGGAATGTGCATCGGTCCATGTGATGAGGGAATACTTGGCTGGAGGACAGAAACTGCTAGACCACCAAGGTTATATGTAACTGTGAATGTGGTCCTGAAAACTGGGGATGGAGCCGAGAAGCAGACCCCGGGAAGGGGCAGCCAGTGGGCATTCCCTCCAGGACTTCTGACCCCTCTGGGCCACCCTTCTCCTAAAGTCTAGTTCCTTTGAGGTGTGGTTCTTTCAGCTGGGGGTTACCAGTAGTGACCTTTGGGCATTAAAAATAAACCAAAGAATGCTGGCTTTGGGATTGGGCTAGATTTGAGTCACCTGACCAGGGGAGGCAGGCCTGTTTGCCTCAGTTTTCCTGGCAGTGATCAGGTCATTGGGATGACTTACAGGCCATCTGTGGGATGGGCACACGGCTCAGGTGGTGCCAGCAAGGAGGACGTGGAACTCTGGGGCACTGGAATATCTGGAAAAGCCTCCGAGAGAGTAGATTGGTACCTCAGCCCTCGGGGCCTAGCAGTGTCTAAATATCCTTCTTGGCACAAACACAGGGAGATACAGAGATATGCTAGGTGTAGAGAGGAGAGGGATCTAAATCAGAGAGCAGCGACACCGGCTCCAAGCGGCCCTGGGGAAGACTGGGGGTGGGGGATTGTAGATGCTAATCAAGTTGCGGGGAGGGGCTAGTGGAGTGGGGGGCGTGGGGCTTCCGCCGGCAGCCGGCAGTCTTTCGCCAATTCGGAGGACTTTCAGCTTGATACCCTCACTGGAGTGCCTCTGGCCACACACAGTTCCCCAGGGGCTATTTGATCAACCCAGGGAGGGTGACCAACTGGATGGGGTTGGAGAAGTGGCCGGGGAAGAAATGGCTCAGGTTGAGCCATGGACAGGTGTTTGAGTCAGAGAATAACCATGGGGAGACATTCCTGGTCTCTCCGCTCCTTGGCTCTGGGTCTAAGGGTGGAGGTGCTGCCCGAAGCCAGGGTCCTCACTGTCTTTTCTGGGTCGCTGGAATTTAGTGCCACAAAAAGCCTCTTGACCTTGAGCCTCAGTCTCCCCCTCTGCCAAACGGGGTTAGTTCACCTGCTGACCCCACCCCAGCAGCTCCTAGCTGGGTTGGACAGAGGCCGCCAGATCCCAGCGCCTCGACGGCCGGTTTTCCCACTCGGGCGTAGCTGCCCTGCTGGCCCCGTCCGCCGCCCGCCCGCCCCGCTCCAGGGCCCGCCAGGCCGGCTGCCCGGCCACACTCACCACGGTCCTGGTAGCGAATGCCAACATCTCTGCGGCCCGCTCGCGGACGCACAGTCCGCTACTTCCGACGGACTGGGCAAAGTCCGCGCCGCCGCCGACGGGTCCCTGCTAGAGCCTCCGGGCCAAGGTCGCCGAGTCACGGCCGCTAGACGGTAGAGGCGGCCCCGCGCCCACCCACCGGGCCGGACGGGCGGGCGGCCTGGGGAAGGCGGACTCGTGGGGCGGGGCCTCGGGCCGGTTGCTGCCCCGGAGGCTAAGCCACGAGCGCGGGGCGGGGCCGGGGCGGGACCGGGGCGTAATGAGCGGTTGGGGAAAGCCGCGAGGCGGTGGAACCCGGGAAGAGGAGCAAGCCGAAGGCCGCCGTCCAGTTCGCCCTCTGCCACATCCATTAAGGCGTCCACAGACTGTGGGAGGCAGTGGTGTGGACTCCTCAGTCCTTTTGGTGGCCTTGAACGTTGCCCTCAGAGTGGTAGGAAAACACAACCATGTTGACAGAGGCAGGTCTTCTAATAGTTCTCGGGGTCGGGTCAGAGCCCGGCTCGAAGATGACAAGTGGGGACCGCCCCGCAAAAGCATGGCTGCCGCGATCCCAGCACACTCCCCGCAGGCGGTTGGCGCGTGGGCGGCGAGCCGGCCGTTGGTGCGCATGCTCGCCGGCGCCCCGCTGAGCGCACCGCCCCGAGTCGGCCGTTGGTGCGCATGCTCGCCGGCGCCCCGCACCAACATGGCTGCCGCCCCCCGCTGAGCGCGGCTGCCCGGAGCCGGCCGTTGCTGGGCATGCTCCCTGAGTGCCCCGCACCAACATGGCGCACGTCTTCGCTGGGGTGACTTTAATTCTCGGTTTTCGGTTATAGCCTGCCGGGGCTCGTTTTTTTTCAGCAAGCCCTGAGCGCGTGGTGGGGCCGAGGCAAGGCGGGGTGGTGCAGGGGTGAAAAGGGAGAGGGTACTGCAGGCATCCCGGCCGGCTTCCGGCGATAGGAAGATGGCTGAGGGCGAGCGGCAGACGCCGTCAGGTAGGACGGTGGGGCCCGTGTGGAGTGGGGGCTCGGGGGCGGTGCTAGGCGTGGGGGCGGGGAAGGGGTGTGTTGTGTAGGGGGGCGCCTCGGCGAGGGGAAGCGGGGTTCGGGAGCTGGAGGACCTCGAGGGGCAAACGCTCTTGGGCCCTCGAGAAGGACCAAGAGTTGACGGGGCCCCCGGGTGAGGAGTGCTGGGGGCGTCGTGAGGGAGGGCAGGATCCCGGGGCTGAAAAGGAGTGATGAATGGGGCGTGACACCGGGACTCGGGGAGCCTGAGCGGCCCGAGGGGTCGGGTGGGCAGAGCCCAGAAGGGGAGGCCTTTTCTACATCCGGGCTGTTCGGGCTCAATTCAGCTCTTGAGCTGGTGGGTAAGCACCCCAACCCCCACCCCACGGATGGGGACTGCTGTCTTTGTTAGACCCGGCCTTGGGGGTGGGGGCTGGTGCTCCGTGGGGCTTTCCTCGCCCCGCTTTGCCGGCCTCCCTCCGCTCTCTGACCTCTCCTTATCACCTCCCCTCTCTTCCCCTGGGAAAAAGGGACTCGAGTTTCAGTGGCTGAGAAATTATCGAGACATACTGCCCCTCGGCCGTCTAAACCACTAATTTTAAAAGGCTGGTTGTGCAAGGAGACGAGTCACTTTTCTGGCATCATTTTCTGTAACTTTTATTTACGGGGCTGTTGTTTCTTTTTAGTTCATTTCGAATAATTGGCATGGAGGTAATAGGGAAAGGATCCTCTTAGAGAGACCGGTTACCTAGGGGAATGGAAGTGTATTTGCTGACCACTCCCCTTGCCCCTTCCTTGAGTTTAGAAGAACTGACAATAGATGACTTTTACAATTGTCAGAGGTGTAAATAGGTTGGCCAAACAGCTGTTTCAAAACAGCTAGTGTAAACCATTCTATATTCCTTCTACTCTGTCTTGCTTCTGGGAAGGTCTCAGGAGGGAGAAATTTTGAAGATCAAAGAGGTATACCCTCGCATCTCTCACACACACACACACACACACACACACACACGAACATTGCCAGGGCTTCCCTAGTCTCACACACACACACACACACACACACACACACACACACACGAACATTGCCAGGGCTTCCCTAGTCACTCANAAGGTCTCAGGAGGGAGAAATTTTGAAGATCAAAGAGGTATACCCTCGCATCTCACACACACACACACACACACACACACACACACGAACATTGCCAGGGCTTCCCTAGTGGCTCAGATGGTAAAGAGTCTGCCTGCAGTGCGGGAGACTCGGGTTCGATCCCTAGGTCAAGAAGTTCCCCTGGGGAAGTAAATGGCAGCCCACGCCAGTACTCTTGCCTGGAAAATCCAATGGACAGAGGAGCCTGGCAGGCTACAGTCCAGGGGGTCACAAAAGAGTTGGACAAAGAGTTGGGTATGGTCTGTCAAGGCAACTGAAATTTATTTTACTTGGTACAAAATTTATTTTACTTGGTACAAAACTTCTGTGCATATGCCCTTAGGAATTCTGGTAATGACATCAGGGTATATAAGGCAACCAGAATTATCAGTGAGATGAATGTGTCCCTGAAGATGGGTGGCGGGAGGACCTATGCCCTGAGACAGAGGTGGGCTCAGAGAATTCTCTATGTCTGAGAAGATTCAGATTCCTAGGAGGTGGTCCTTCTTGGAAGTTTGAAACTCAGGATATTTAGGAACAAGTAGTAGAAAAACTACTTAACTCGGTGTAGTGATAAAAACCTTGGATTTTGCAGTTACATAGACCTGGCTCTACTTGGCAAACTGCAGCCTCTGTGAGCCCGTTTCCTTATCTCATCTTGGCAGGGTTGGTAGTATGCATTCCCTAGGTGATGCAGGCAAATCGTGACATGGTGACAGTCAGTAAAGGTGGTTTGAGTTGAACATATAGATAGGTTCCCAAATGGTAGATGGTAATATACTCTTTAGGGTTTTTAGGAACATCTCTAAAACCCTGGATATTTCCATCTTATACTGAGAAGTTATTAGGGATTCAGCTATGCTATGTCACCTTTGTCAGAGAAGCAATAACCTGAGGCTAGAGAAACTGGATCTGACCTCATTGATCATAGTTTCAAGTCTGAATACTTGTTTTTTTTTTTAATTTGGAATTACATGTTCTGGTGATAGTGTATGTGTATTTCATCAGTGATTTGATACAAAACTTCCAAGTAGCTTTTCCTCTGAGAACAGGACCCTGTGAAATAATATCAGGAGGGTTCTTCCTTTAGAGAGAGGAATAGCTCTCTTAAATTTAGAAAAGGACTCTGTTCCCAAGGATCATTTGCAAATGGGTAATTTGAAATGTGGAGTACATTTTCCCATAAAAACAATGTGGTTAGGTCACCGGCCTGACCTAAAAAGCTTTTAATTCAGCATCTTACTTGAAGTAGCAATTTGCTAATAGTAGGGTCATCAATTTGAGGTTCTGGGAACAGGACTTGCAAAACAGGTGGGCTGAAGAAAAGAGTTTCTGGTGTCTTTTTTTGGCCCTGGGTTGAATTTGAATTAGGCAGAGCTTTGCCTTGCTCTCATCCCCCATTCTCCACGCGTCTCTTTAGGTCTCCACGTCTCCTGGGACATTTCCTTTCCTCAAGGCCACTCCAGGAAGGCTCTAGTCCCCCAGATGTCACATGCTCTAGAACCTACTTAGATCTTTGTCCCCTTTGTTCATGTAACTGATGTGAGCTAGGTTTTAGGAGGATGGCATTGGGACAGAGTATATTACATTGTAAGTGACTGATAGCCTATCACTCTTCTTGGAAAGTTTTCATTTTCATTTATTTATTAAAACTATTTTTTGAGAGTTTTCATTTTTATTTATTTACATTTTTATTTGGCTGTGTTGGGTCTTAGTTGTGGCATGCAGGCTTAGTAGTTGTGGCTTACGGGCTCAGTAGCCCTGGGATGTGAGATCTTAGTTCCTCGACCAGGGATCAAACCTGCATCACCTGGGGTGGAAGGCAGATTCTTAACCACTGGATCACTAGGGAAGTTTTGAGAGTTTTCTTTTCTTTCTTTTTTTTTTTGAGAGTTTTCATTTTTAAAGGAAGGGTCTTAATAATCTGACACAACTCCAATAGTAGATTCAGGCCCACAACTACCAACCTACAAAATAGGTGTATTTGGAATTCACAGTTTTTCAGATTTCAGAAGGCAGTGTTCCATAGTCAAACAGGAAGATTTATGCAGCAAAACATAAATTCCAGCTAAATGGGATACACATGTTACTCTGTTTTTCTTTTCCTCAGCTTCTGAAAATATAGAAAATCCATTTAAAATAGTTTATTTATGATTACAAAAGTATCATAATGCTAGTTTTTAGTAGTAATATGTAGCTTAGAAAATGGAAGTCCTTTATAAATCTTACCTCCTAGAGATGACAACTATTAACTTTGGTGTTTAACTCTTTAGATTTTTCTAAGACATGAGCTAATAGGTGTATGTATTGTTAATGTTAGTATGTAAATAGTTTTTTTTAATAGCAGTAAGATTATATTGTATATAGTATGTCATTGAAGTTCAGTTGCCAAGTCCTGTCCGCCTCTTTGTGCCATCATCGACTGTAGCCAGGCTTCCCTGTCCTTTACTGTCTCCTGGAGTTTGCTCAGATTCGTGTCCATTGAGTTGGTGATGCCATCCAACCATTTCATCCTCTGTCCCCCCCTTCTCCTCCTGCCCTCAATCTTTTCCAGTAAATCAGCTCTTCCCATCAGGTGGCCAATGTATTGGAGCTTGGTTTCAGCATCAGTCCTTCCAGTGAATATTCAGGATTGATTTCCTCTAGGATTGACTGGTTTGATTTCCTTGCAGTCCAGGGGCTCTCAAGAGTCTTTTCCAGCACCACAATTTGAAACATCAGTTCTTCGGTGCTCAGCCTTCTTTATGGTCCGAGGCTCCCATGTGTAAGTGACTACTGGAAACCTTATATGTATATATATATATATACATATATACATATACGTATATACACACACACACACACACACACACACACACACACACATATGTTTGACTATACGGACCTTTGTTGGCAAAGTGATGTCTCTGCTTTTTAATACGCGATCTAGGTTGTCATA